ATGGTGCCCGGCTATCGAGACCTATAGCGTCTGGGGACTTAAAGTCTTGAAAGTAAACAAGCGGCCATCTAGCCCAGAAGCAACAAGCCCACATGGAAGCAGCACACCAACATGTGTGATCATGAAGGGCCAAAGGGACCAGGCTTTAAACACCACTTTTGTTTATTCACCCGCTTTGTCTTCAGTGATTGTGTAGGGAAGGTGAGCATCATAGAATGCCGATTTAATAGAAGAAAGTATTCTTGCATTGAGGGAGTACTTGAATGGAGGCCCAATGTACTTCATTTCTATCAGCACGACCATATTTTCCAATTCTATTTCTTCCTCTTTGTTTCTATTTTTTGAGTTCCAATCACCAATCATAATCAATGTATCTTAATTGAATGCTTGAACAATTTCAGACTGAAGACATTTGTAGAATTCTTCAATTTCTTCATCACTTGCTATGGTGGTTGGTGTATAAATTTGAATAGTAGTTGCACTGATTGTATTTCTTTATATGTACATACATATTATCCTATCATAGACACCACTGTTTTTCCAGAGATCTTGAAATGTCCTTTTTGACGATGACGAATGTAACGCCATTCCTCTTGAACCTATTATTCCCAGCATTGTAAACCATATGATTTTTCTCATTCAAAATGGCCAATACCAGTCCATTTCAGTTCACTAAAAAGTAAGATATCAATCTTTATGTTTCATTTCATTTTGATTACTTCCAATTTCCCTAGATTTATATTTCTTACATTCCAAGTTCCAATTATGAACTAGGACTTGTGGCTGTTCTTATTTTTGAATAGTGCCCATCAGCAAATAAAGGTCCCTCTGGCTTTACTCCACCCGTGATATCATGGTTGACTCTAAGGCAGCTCTTACGCAGTCATATTTTGAGTGCATTCCAACAAAAGAGATTTATTTTCTGGCACCATCTCTGGCAATGTTCTACTGCCATCTGTGAGGGTGTCAGTTTCTGACAATGTTCTGAAGGTACCCAGTAGGTTTTCAATGGCTAGGTCCTCTAAAGTGGGCAGCCTAGACCTTCTTTGTAGTCTGTTCTTAGTCTGGATGCTCTGCTTTGACTTGTTCATGATGGGTGACCCTGCTGGTACTTGAAATACCAGTGACATAGCTTTCAGCATCATGGCAACACACGCCACCACAGTACCACAAACTGACAAAACAAGTGGGTGAGTAAGCCTGGTGAAATCACATGTAGATTATTAAGTATAATGAAAAGGCACCTTTCTTGACTTTAAATCATAGAGCATCCCCATGTTCTGTTCAAATAACTACCTCCTGGTCTATGTATAAGTTCCTTGCGCACACAATTAAGTATTTTTGAACTCCAATTTTTCATGTTATCTATAAAATGTGTTATGGTTCCCAAAGTCACATAACATTGCACAGGCAGTGAAACATAGATGAAAACGCTGTTGGTTTTTGTTTTCAGTCAAGATCTACCTGACTTTAGCAATGAGATTTTTTGTTCCACATCCTTTCTGAATCCTGCTTGGATTTCTTTCAGTTCCCTGTCTATAGCCTGCTGGACTGCTGCAACCATGTTTGAATCACCTCTGGCCAAATTTTATGTATGTGTGATATTATATTGTTCAACAATTTTTACATATTGGGATCATATTTCTTTACAATAGGGACAAATATGGATCTATTCCAGTCAGTTGGTCAGATGGCCGTTTCCAAAGTTCTTGGCAAAGATAGCCGAGTGCTTCCAGCATAAAACATGTTTTTTGAAAATTCTCAACTGTATTCTTTTTATTCCTGAACTCTTATTTTTTGTCAATGCCTTCCTTCGTTGCAACCTGGACGTCTTCGGTTAGTACCATTAGTTCTCAGTCAAATGCTACCTCTTGAAATGGTTGAATGTCATCAATTCTTTTTATTACAGTGATAGTGTATTTCTACTACCTGCTTTTGATGTAGATCCTACAATTTTAGAACTTGAGGGTTGTATTACTTCTTCAGTGCTTTCTGCTCCACTCTTGGTTTCTAACTCCAAACCTTTTGTATATTTCATTATAAATCTCTACTCTGTCTTATTGAGTTTCCCTTCAAAAGTAGTTCCACCAGTTGTGTGCACACTTGATCAAATTACTTAATATACTTCATATTCATTTTTAATCTCTAACAGAGGACAAACCTTGCTTACTGAAAGTGAGGGGGACTTAAAGCACTTGCTGATAAAGATCAAGGACTGCAGTCTCCAGTACAGATTAAAACTCCATTTAAAGAAAACCAAATCCTCACAACTGCACCAATTGGCAACATCATGGTCAATGGAGGAAGAGAATGGCGCTGTCAAGGATCCCGCCTTACTTGGATGCACAGTCAATGTTCATGGAAGCAACATCAAGAAATCAAACGAAACACTGTATCGGGTAAATCTGCTTCACAAGATCTCTCTAAAGCAAGCAGATTCCTTTGAAGACTAAGGTAGGCCTGTTACAGGCCATGGTATTTTCAACTACCTCATATGAATGTAACAGTCGGACACTGAATAAGAAAGATTCAAGAAGAATCAAAGCCTTTGAATTATGGTACAGGGGTTAGAATGTTGAAAGTACCATGGACTGCCAAAGGAACAAACAAATCAGTACAGACAGAGAAGTACAGACAGAATGTTCCTTAGAGGCAAGACTTTGTCCCATGTACTTTGACATGTTATCAGGAAAGAAAGCAGAACTTGGAGAAGGACATCATGCTTGGAAAAGCACAGGGAAAGTGAAAAAGAGGTCAACCTTCTACACGATGGGGTGGCACGGTGGCTGCAGAGATGGGCTCAAACATGAACAATTGTGAAGATGGCGCAGGACTGGGCAGTGTTGTGCTCTGCTCTACCTAGGGTCACTATACGTCAAAATGGACGCTGAGGCAATTAACAACAACAACAACAACAACAACAGGGGATAACATCCAATCCGGACATTCTTAAGGCCATTTTGATTGCTTAGTAAAGTAATGAAACTTAGTGAAGCATTCGATCATTCTTTATTATAATAATAAGTTAAATAGGAATAAATTACATTTAAGTAAATAATACCAAGATCATTGGGGACCAAAATATTTCAACTATAAATCTTCATTCATAGTAAGTACTTAAACATCCACTTACCTGTTTTTTAAAATACCTCATATTCATTCCCTTCAAAGCCCTCAAGGTAATTAACAGATAATATTTTCTATCAACAGGCTCTTTACAGAGTCATTTTCAAATACCATTAGGTTCCAATAAAAATCCTCTTACCAGCTTGAGCTGAAAGCTGGCCACTATGGGCAGCCCAGTAACCCTTCACAGGAGATGGGCACTTGACATTACAAGTGTGGCCAGTACCTAATTGACCTCTTGCTCCACAACCAAATGCATAGATGAGTCCAGAAGAAGGCACAAAGGCTAAGGTATGTTGTCTGTAAAATAATAATAATAAGTTAAATTAGCTTGTCAGCAGCTTCTTCTGATTTGGAGTGCAGTCAGACTCTGAATTTTGTTTCCACGTGTGAGCACAGTCATTCCCAGCTGTACATTAACAAAGGCCCCCTCTCTCCCCAGTTTACACGTGAATTGGCTGCCTCTTATCATAGCGCCTAGCTCTCCACCACACTATTCTCTAGGTTGTGGGAAGGATGGCAAGATATGGAAAGAGCTGAATGATCTGCTGTGTGTGCCCTTTGAAATCAGAGGGAAGAAGCAGGGTAGATCCAGGCAAAATTTCCAAGTTCTTTTTCATTCTTCCTCTCCCCATAACCCACTGTCCTATAATCCCAAAGAAGTATAAGGTCCTTTATTACTCTTTTTATCTAAAAGCCTTCCTTGTTGAAATCTGTTCACATTTGATTCTTTCATTAACTTGAGGTGAGCATGCATGTAAGATTTCTGAGAATGAGAAAATGCTTTGAGAATGATGTACAAATGCGCTTTACACAATTGATGTGTGTATGGATTGGGATAACAGTTGTATGAGCCCCTAATAAAATGTTTAAAAAAAAAAAGATTTCTGAGAATGACTTTGGTTAAGAATCCCAGGTGATGCAGAAGTTAAGCACTCAGCTGCTAACTGAAGGCCAGCGGTTTGAACCACCTGCTATTCCATGAGAGAAAGTCTATTTCTGTGAAGATTACAGCTTTGGAAACATTATGGGGTAATCCTACTCTGTCCTATATGGTCACTATGAGTCGGAAGCAACTCAACAGCACACAACAACAGGTTGAACCACATTCTTCATCACTGCAAAGACAAGGTCCATCTCTGGTCTCAGTAGATACCAGGAAGCTCTGAGAAGCACTCACCTGCCACAAGCAATCTGAGTTACTTCACTGCCCATCAGTTCTAGAACTCTCCTTGGGTTAACCTCATCATTCATGGAGTCATGTCCAAGTTGCCCACAGGAACCAGCACCAAAGGTAAATACACCTCCATTCTAACAAGGAACAAGCAGCACATGATTTTACTGCATCTCTGAGTTTGAACATACTCCTCTAAAACCTTCTGCTTACAGAACTCAGGTGACAATGGTCTTTCTAAGAACACTATGTTCACGTGTCACTTAGCACAAATCACTTCTTGTAACATACGTTAGACGGAAAAATAATAAAAAAGAAAATCAAGACTATTACTTTATGGAGCAAAGACACATTGTTCAAGGAAATGGGTTCCATCTATGAATTTTTAAAACTGCTTTAAAATACAATGATGTGCTAAGAGATCTTTTTAAAAGAGACACACGAGAGAGGTGAAAGATGATTTTGCACAAAGTGCTCCACCAACTCTCTGGTATATAAGGTGTTTATTCCCCCAGAGCGACACCTGAATAAATGCTAAGGCATTTTGTGAAAAATGAATCTATAATACTGTTCAATATGTAAACAACTTTACATTCTCACTAGAGGCAACTCTTTATAGAAGCAAATGACAAGATGGATAACTAATGATTAATTATATTGCCATTTCTGTTTTTAAATGGCATGCTTTAAATTTTTTAAATTATATTGAATTATTTTTAAATGTTACTAAATGCAAAATCTAGACGATTTTTACCAAAGATGTAAGAACAAGCACATTTTAAAAAATGTAGTCTTTTCCTAGTTTATTTCTGGAAGAAAATCAAACGGAAATTGCATACAATAGTATAATTAACCACCACCACTACTCGTTCTAAAAGATAGTATCAGAAATAATCACGCAACGATAATTGCCCATCTCATACCACAGCACTACAGAACAGAGAGCACTGAGCCCTTACTTTTGTGAGGACTGCTGTGTGTTCTTCTCCACAAGTAATATAGACCACCTTTTGCATTCTTAACAGCTTCACGTGACAAGGAGACTCTCGATCTAGAACAAGATAAATAAATGATCAGACTATCACTGCCAGTTGCCTTTGAGACAAAATATCCACCCCGCCATCTTTGTTTGTGGAAGGAGGACTTAGATTCTGTTAGATTTGTGGTACCTGTGATGGTGAGAAAAGAGCCGTGGAGGTGTAGTCATTACACATTAGACTGCAGTTCACAGGCCACCCTCAGGAGAATGACATGGCTTTCTACTGTAAACAGTTACAATCTGGGACACTCACAAGGGCAGTTCTACCCTGTCCTATAGGGTCACTATGAGTTGGTTTGGTGTGGGTGATGATTGGATACTCCTGGTGCCTAGTCTGCCAATCAAGGGTTAGGATGATGACACTCCCTTGGAGTTACAGTCTCTGGTACAAGAGTGAGAGATGCAGAACTGTTCTTTCTCCTGCCCTTTACCTTCGCCCTTGCTGGGACTCTGTGTCTGTCTCTAGGGGTGGCCGCAAGTGGGTCGCCCAACCCTGCGAATTGTTGGTGCCCTGCCATGCTTTCCCCAACCTTGGAGCCATGCAATTTCGCACCAGCAGCCTGTGAGCTCACTGCTTCCCTCTTCGCCTTTCTGAGTCAACTGTCTGCAGCGACCTGAGTCTGAAGAGGGCCCCAGCTATCATCGGACTAAAGACTTGAGTTGGACTGGGCTGAGATACCTTCTTGATATGAAATTGCTTCTTGAGATAGTTCTTTCTTGTACATGGATAAGTGCCACTGGCTTTCTACTCCTATAAACCCACTCTAACAAAATTTGGATCGAGAGAGACAGATTACAAAGATGCAGGGTAAAGGTTTGTCTGAGCTCTGCCTTGTGGCGATCAGGTAGAGTTGGGTTTTCTCTTCTCCTTTGGGTTCGTTAGGGAGTGCTGGTGGCATAGCAATTACACACTGGACTGTGATCTAAAAGGTCGGCAGCTCAAAACTACCAGCTGCTCCTGAGTAGAAAGACAGAACTTTCTACTCTCTCAACAGTTACAGTCTTGGAAACCAACAGGGGCAGTTCTACCCTGTCTTATAGGATCATTATGGGCCGGCATGGAGTCAATGGCAGTGAATTTGGTTGTTTGTTTGTGGGTGGGGGTGAGTAACTACACAAGGTCAGCTATGGCCACGTGATTTACTTGATTGGTTTCTGGAAAGGGCATCTTTCTACCAAGGAGCAGTACTTGTTATCCTAGCTTGGACCAGTCAGGACAGAGTTGACAAAAACTAGACATGATGAAGATGAAGATGTTTGACCCTGTGCACATTGCTTGCTAACTTGATAGTCTGCTCTAAATTTGACTTTGCTATGGAGACAGACACAAGATTCCAACAGGAAGGATGATTCTTCACATCAAACAACATGACCCACCTTTCCGCAATAGAGCCTTGGCATGCCCTGCTCCCTTCAACGGAAACACTCCGCCCGGCCTGATACAGACATGACTCATTTCTCACCTGACTTCCTACGGTCTCTGCTCACACTGCTTTGTGTTGGAAAGGTCCTCCTGAATTATCATATGTAGGACAGAGAGCTTTATTCTTAAACCTGACATGAATGTGTTTATTATTTGCCTCCACCCCCTAGAATGCAATACCCAGAAAGTCAAGGGTGTGATCTGTTCCATCCACTGCTTCCCCTTCCGTACCTCACACAGGGTCATAACATTAGTAGATGCTCAATACGCATGTGTTAAACAGGTGCATGTACTTTTGAACCAAAGAGGCGCGTATGAAGTTCTCCTACCTTTTTCATCACTGAGTCCTAGCTGCCCTGCATTATTCATACCCCAACCAAAAACAGCTCCTGAGAGAGACAGGGCAAAGCTGTGAGCACCTCCGGCGGCCACCTGAGCCAGCGGGATCCCTTCCAGGGACCTCACCCTCTGTGGGCTGGCCTGCGAGGGGAATTCCTTCCCGAGGCCCAGCTGCCCATGGCTGTTCTTTCCCCATGTGAAGAACTGCCCATCTGAAATACAAAATAGGATAACTAGTATGACCACAAATGATATCAGTTCCATCTGCAAAACTAAGTAGGTGCAATAATACAGTTGCCTGGGTGGGGAGTGGGCGGTGTGATTGGTTAGTTGCTCCCTGCCCACTTGATCCTCATCTGAGAGCAAGGGGACTCTTCCTGCTGGAAGATGGTCAAACCAGAACTTCTACTTGTCATGAGAGCAGAGAAATTATCAGAGAAATAAGCTGTGTTTCACTGTCCTTTCAAAGTCTATTAAAATTGATGCCAAGAAAATATTATACGCTTAAAAAGCAATTTCCAAAATCAGTTTTGTTTTGAACAGGCCAATACTAGGCTCAAACCCACTGGGCAAGCCGCCCTTACTCTGACCACATCAAAACCATGAGATTCGGGACCTCAGGAGACCAGCGTGATTGTCTGGCCCAGCCTGCAGAGCATTTAATTATAAATGTCCCCTCAGTTTTGTTCTATCCATATAGTGCTATTTGCTGCCTTAGGTTTCTATAACTCTCCCCCCATTTATTTGGGACCTTAAAGGTCAAAATATAGCTTAATAGAGAATTGTACCTAAGAAAAACCAATCTTCTATATGCTCAAGGGCACTTAAGTAAGCGTCTGCCTCCGACGCATCTCCCTTTGGGAGATAGGCTAGACTGGAGCAGCCACATGATGCCTTCCTTCATCACCTACACCCAGAGAACAGAATGAACTATACCAAAGGCTGTCTGAGAACTGTCATTGTCCAACAGGGTTTCGTAGTCCTCAACTCACTGAGAGTCTCAGTTACAGAAATAACATCACACAAATGTATAAAGAGATTTGTTTTCAAACATAACAATAGCATACAATTGATGTTACATTACCAGCTGCAAGAGCCAAGCAATGCCAGTTGCCACAGGAAACTTGTAATATTGTTTGTTGATTCAGCTTTTGTATTAACCTAAAACAGAAAAGGCTTTTTCTTTGAAAAAGAACATTAGTTCTCAAACACACTTATCAGAAATATTCCCAACCAACCAAAATAGTTGTAACCTTTCCTAGAGAGACTTTTAAAAATTCAATCTTTTCTTAACATGGCTCATCTGCCCAAGTCTCTGTAACTCCCACCAAATAAATTGGTGGGACTATGCAAATAGGGCACAGGCAACGATAAGAGAGGGGACTTTTCAGTTTGGTTATCACACCCCCTGCTAGGAAGATATTTGAAGTAGTTGAGAAGGAGAAACCACAAGGACCTTGGAAGAGCACACTTAAGACCTCTGAGACCAGATGCGTCCCAGCCTCTGGCGCGGAGGTTCAGAGGAGCAGCGCCAAGACTATGGGAACCTGCTCCTCATGTGGCCTGAGACGATGGAACTGTAAGACAGAGAGACAGGTGGGCTGCCTTCCTGGCTCTTAGAGATAAAGGCCAAGAAACCACATGGCTGAGAGACTAAGAGCCAGAGAGAGACCTGGCTGCTGGCTGAGGAAGACTGATGACTGTATCCTTAGTTTGCTGATCCTGACTAAAGGTAACCTATTGACTTCCCTACTAATCTCCCTTAATGTTGAGTATTGTCCGTGTGTTGTGGGTGGCCATTGCCAACAAATCCTCAAACCCAGCATTGGTTAGTGTCAGAATAAGTAATGAAGGATGGAGGGTGGAGACATGTCTGACTCTTGCCTCATGACAATAAGGAAGCCAAAGGAGGGCAGACACGTCCACTTCCGTTGCTGTTTGCTACATTACCACAGTTGTGAAGCGCTCAGCTGCGAAGGAAGGCTGGCAAGGTTCAAACCTTCCAGTGGCTCCACGGGAGAAAAGGCCTTGCTCATGTCAGCCTAGGAAACGCTAAGAGACAGCTCTACTCTGACCGAGAGGGTCACTGTAGGTCAGAATAAAGCAGACACCACCAAAAAACAACAGCATCACCATCTTATATAATACTAGATCTTTCAATAGCCTCCCCCTATTAGGTAATCACCGTTTAAAACAAAAATAACAACAACCCGTCTTCACTTCAACCCCTCACTACAATCTCCTGTGACTTCTCACAATGTCATCTCCAATTCATAGGCAGATGGAGTAAGCTCAGTACAGCCCTAAGAATACCTGTCTCAATAGGGTGTCTGGATGGCTTTCCAAAGAAGGGAGATGACTCCCAAACCTGCCTGGCCAGCAGCGCCTGACTTCCTTTCAGACCTCACTCCTCTGCGTGCACTTGTGAAAGATATGGATACGAGCAGCCATAGAGCTGGGCTGCCTGGGGATACCTCCTGCTCTCCACAAGGCACTTAACACGTTGCCATGTTCGCCTTCACCAAGCGAACACAACGGGGCTCTGGGAACAAAGGAGTCCATGAACACCCCATGAGAAGAGGGCTTTTTTGTCGGAAATGTCCAGTGGGGGACAGGGATTATTTAGAGTGACTGCTAGATACTGCTTTCCTTGATGTCTTATTTTCTCAGATACAAAAAAAAAAACATTGAAAGCGTTCACATGCATATTTTAATATGAAACAGAGCCTATATTTTTAATTGAGATAGTTGTAGATTCACATGCAGTTGTAAGAAATTACAGAGATCCTTTTTACACGTTGCCCAGTTTGCAAAACTGGTAACATTTTGTGAAAATATCGTCTAATCATACCAGGATAGTGGCACTGATGGAATCCACTAATTCTATTCAGATCTCCCC